AATCTTTATAATCTTGATCAGTCCTGTCTCGATCTAATCGATGATCTACGACGATCTATCTTTTTTTTAATCGCGATCTTTTTGCGAAGCGTGACGGAACAGTCGAACATAATTAATAAGAAAGGGGATTTTTCTTTTTTACATGGATATGAAGTGCCGCAACGAAAAATATTTTTGCCGGTCACATATTTTTGCTCTACCCCTTTTTTCTCTCTCTATATTTTTTTTTCTATCCTCTATATTTTCTATTTCTTATTTTTTTTCTTACCGCGTGACGTGCCGTTCTCAATCCGCCTGTTTACTTCTCTGCGTCTATCTTCGCTGTCTGGCTAAACGCACACTGTATCCACTCGCTCTCTTATAACGTATCTATTTGTCACAAGTCTATACTATCTCTTTTTCTCTCTATTATCTAACCATAACGCAAATATATTTCTCTAAGCTTTACTAACTCGCCAAAGAAAATAAAAAAAAAAGCTTTACTCTCTCGAGTCAGGGCTGAGCAAGCTTATAGAGAAGACGCCATTATTGTGTTATTATATACTCGTAACTCTGTATACTATATACTGCATATATACTGTCTCTTTATACACTTTTTAAAATTTATAGTATTGATTAGCACACGGATTTGTTAATAATTAACGTTGCGCTCGCGCGCCGAGAAAAATGATCGTGAAACGAGACGGGCGCACGATTTCGCAGTAATAGAAGCAGTTGCCCTAGATATGTTGCAAAAAAAAAGAGTACGCAATCGAATATATATACCCACGAGGATCACCGAAAGGGATCACTCCTTCCCTTGGTCTCTCACGCGAGAACTGAGCTGACACTGTATGCCTGAGACCACGTGCGCGCGTGTTTGTGCGTGCGTGCGTGCGTGCATGCGTGCGTGCGGTGCAAAATCAGAAATAAAAGCGAAAAAAAAGAAATGACAGTACACACATCGATTGTTACGATTTTTACGGTGTCTTCCTCTTATCTTTTTTTTCATCTCTTACGCTTACATGTCTTCGTCTCTTTTTCCTTTTCATGCGTGCGTTTCTCTCTCTCTCTCTCTCTCTCTCTCTCTCTCTCTCTCTCCTTCTCTCTTTCCACCTACTCTCTTCCATTGCTTGTCCTTAACATTCTATTATACAACGAGAATATCTTCCTTCACTAAGCATAAACAAATTTGCTTTACCATGCATGCATGGCTTTTCTAACTAATAAACTATTTAAGAGATGATATATATATATATAGGCGTAATGAACACGGGTTAATTAACATTGTTGGTCATGGTAGCAAACTATAAATTATGAGGAAACAGGCGAATGGCTTCATTATAGTGTGGATTAATTTCGCGTTATTGTTGACTTGACCGATCACTATTTGATTTCAGAGCGTCACATGATTAGAAGTAGATTTGTATTTCGCCAAAATATATTGCCAGAATTACGTATCTCATTACGCAAATTAATCACCATCAAATAAATACTCTCATTATCAAATTAATATATATTTATATATATGAATAACATTTATGCAGTAATAATTATAAATTATACTTCTTTTTTAAATATTTATTTATTTTTCGAAATTATCGGAAATTTGATTCTCATGTCCAAGTAGTTATTTAGATAAATATTTTACTTTATTTTATTTAGAAAAATATTTTACGTTACGTCAATTTTAGAGATATGAAATATATTCGTTACATCAATCGCAGCAGTTTAATTTTCGCTGCGAAGTAACACACATACACACACACACACACATTTGAATGGATTTTTGATTGAAAGGAAACGGTAATGGTGATTTATGAAAACAAAATGATTTTTTGCAGCTAAATTAATAGCATGTCGCTAGTCTATCGCGTCAACTTTTCTATTAATCTCCGTGATTATGATTTATAAAACTCCATTTGCAATGGATATCTCGAGTCGATTGAGTTAATGGAGCTTAATTCGCGTATACTTTTGTAGCTGTGGCTAAAGAGTATGGCACTTCATATTCATCGCGAAGGAAGAAAAACGTGCAATTATAATCGCGAATCGTCAATATCTTATTTTATTCTAATAAAATACGTGAGCATGAATTTTTATGACTTGATAAGAAAACGTAACATTTTGAAAATAGTACATCTTATCTGCGTTATGAATTATCAAAAACTTATAAAAAAAACGTAATCGTTTTGCGATATTTGCGATATTATGTCGAAGAAAGTCATTAAAACATTAAAAACATTTGAAAAAAGTTCGATGGTGAGTATACATATATAGATACTCGATCGACGATACAGGTATAAATCAGTTTCATATAACTTTGAAAAAAACGATTGTCGTATACTTTCTCATAAACACCTCAAGAGTCTATTCAGATAAATTTACACAGCTGTATAATTATATACATAAAAAAAGTTACCCAATCATATTCCTATCATAAAGATGTAAAATGGGATTGGATAATTTTTCTTATGCATACATTTATGTGGCCATGATTAGTTTATCTAGGGATAGACCTTAAAAATTGTAGAGTCGGTTGTCTATATTCTTTTATTTTTTCCATTTTTAACTCTCACAAAGGTGGACTGGCTCAAGAATGGATTAAAAGATCATGAAATCGAAGTGCCATGCTGTGAAAATCTTCAGATCACAAAAAATCCTCCCTTCTATTTTATTATTTCTTTTTCTTCCATCGATCAAACACCCCAGTTCTCGCCCATTTCATTTTAATTTTCGTAAGACAATATAAATGTGTACATGAAATACCCAACTTATACGAGAGAGACATTGGAGTAAACACGTACAGACGTCTATGATGTCTTTAAAGTGAAGCGAAACTTGATTTTGTACCGACTCGCACGCACCACACCGACTGTCAGTGTCCTCTTGTCATGGTGTTTTCAATTAGGCTGTAAATAGCGGACTCTTCGTGGCAGAACTCTGTTCTCTTCTTTTTTTGTGAAAAAATTTCACAAAAGAAAATCTTCTTTTCATCGTTTTTTAATTTAAAGAATTTTGTTATCAGTCTCCAATTTTATTACGAGCTTAAACTATTTATGATATAGATATATTGGCGTAGCGCATTGACATTGTCAATGATTATCTTGCAGCATTCAAAACAGTTTCAATATGTTTACGCATCGCTGCTTTGAAAACAAATGTTATTCTGAAATAATTAGAGTTTGTAAGAATTGTATTACACTCGATATAATATTAAACGTTCGAGTACAAAATAGCAAATGAAATCACCAGAGTATCGATTTCGAGGGATTAGTTTCACGCTTCAAATAAGACGAACAGAGCTCTGGCAGTCTAGAAAACGGATTGTAGTGGATTTTGTAATTTTTTTCTCATCACCCACGGCGGACGAAAGAGCTGATCGTGACCAGCCGGTCCCCTGATTGGCCAAAATGAAATTCACACCCCATCGTATCCAATTCCTCTTTTCTTTCTCTCTCTCTCTCTCTCTCTCTCTCTCTCTCTCTCTCTCTCTCTATCTGTCTATCTATCTATCTATCTATCTATTTTTTTCTTTCTTTCTTTCTTTTGTCGTTACTACTCTCTCCCTTTCTCGTAACTTGCACAGGAAAGAGAATAGGCTAAGGAAAAAGAATATGATTAAATGATTCCTGAGAAGAAGAAAGGGAGAGAATCCGACAAGTGGCTTTAGAACAAAGCTTTAGTCCTGAAGAAAACTTTATTCCTGTTTTAGAAGAGTAGAATAATCAATGTCATCCGTAAAAAATGATAAGTGTTTTCAGAAATAGAGATGAATTTATATAATGATGACTATACTATAGTGATATGAATCAACTTGTGTATTTAGATTCGTGTGTTCCAAGATTTTACGTACGTAATGCAACAAATTCAAATTTCTCTACTCCCTGCATGAATTTCTTATACAATACATATACGTGTAAGTGCTCAATTCTGTGGAAACAATTCCACAATCACCTGCTTATCTATTCAGATATAAAAATACACGAATCATGGAACTTCTATTGCAATGTCTACGATACGTTCTGTTGTTGCTATGAAATTACAATATACACATACACACACCCACACACACACACACACACACACACACACACACACACACACACACACACACACACACACACACACACACACATATATATATGTTTGTTTTTTTATGAAGCTGAATGAAATGATTTTAACCACAATATTTCAATTGTGATATCAATTTGAAAAACATAGCAAAGTATTATTTCATCGCAAAAATATCATATTTTCAAGTAATTTTTGCTAAAATTTTTACTTTTTGTCAGATATTTTTGTACATGTGTCGGTAAGTTTTGGATAGCGAAACTTTCCAATTTTCCAGATATTATTTATTCCACAGACCTCCATGTTCCCTCTTTTTCCTCCATTTTTCCGTTATCATTTGCGAAACCGCTCCTCTATTCCCGGACCCATCGCCGTCATCCGCTATTGCAGTTAATCCGCAAGCCAATTTACTGTCAATCTCGATCCGTCGAGTGGCTCGCCAGTTGAATATCTGCCCGCTTGCTCAACACGTGTAACTCCCTTTTCTCTTTCTCTCTTGCCTGTGCTTTTGCCACGCAGGCCGCACGCCGATACGATTTGATTCACCTGTCCATTTCTTCTTTTTCTTGATTAACCGTTTGTGGCTGGATTGTCATGCCGTTCACGTGAATCTAATCCGCGTTTGATCCTAATACGCAAGATTTCTTTACTGTATACAAGAATTATTATTGCACAACTTTTAAGAGAAACTTTCCTTTTTAGATCTAACAGCAGTTAGTTTAAATGCATCTGATATTCTTTGTATAAAGTACATTTACTCGAATATTGTCTCGTTGCAATTATTAATTTAAATACCTTATTGTACTATGGACAGATTCAAAATGGTAAAAAAAAACTCTTCTCTTATATCTTGTATATAAAAAGAAAATTATAAGTGCGCATGAATAAATTATATCATATCAATACCGAATGCAATGGACGTTAATAGGAATATTCGATACATACAGATCGCAGACTTGAACAGCCAGGTCAACGATCTTCGAGGTAAATTGTAAGTATCTTTATTTTCTACGTTATAAAAAACAAGAATCACGCAATTTCTACACGGAAAGAACGATTTTGCTGAATCTAAAAATTTAGCTAGAGAGATATGAAAATATTTCTGTTAATCAAAATAATTGTGTAAGAAACTCAATCATGATGAATAATGCTGCAAAAAGTTTTGACATTCTAACAATCAGTTTTAGCGTTCTATATAATTTATTTTAATAGTCCAAAAAAAAAACAATTATTTTCAAGTCTGTTTTTAGCTAAATTTTTTAATACTTTAACAAAACTGTCTTTTCATGTTGTTGAAAAATTAGTACTAAGAATATATTTTATTGTACAACATTTTGTTATTACTTCAGTATGAAACCGACCCTGAAGAAAGTGTCTAAATACGAGAACAAGTTTGCCAAGCTCCAAAAGAAAGCCGCCGAGTTCAATTTCCGTAATCAGCTGAAACAAGTCAAGAAGAAGGAATTCACCTTGGAGGAGGAGGATAAGGAGGTAAGGATGATCGTTTTCGATAAAATTTTCGCATCTACAGGCGACGTGAATCTTTTTGTAAAAATGTTTTTTCCCTATCCGTCAAAGGTCCACTCAAGCGTTCTTTGAACCGTTCTTTATTAATTATAATTATTTTGATATTAGTGATAGAGAACGTTATGACGACATCCAAAAAAAAAAAATAAACTTTTCAATTTTTATGGGGAAATCATTAACTTTTATTTCGTTTTTATTCATTCAGTTACGTTTAATATTTCTATTCTGTTATAATCATGTACTTGCATTTTTGCTTAATTTCTGATAAATTCATCGATATTTATTGAATTTTGCAAAGGACGCTTATTTTTTACGATCACACGACGGGTAGATACGTAGTAGCATAGTAAATGTTTTATCAGTGAATCAAAAAACAGTTTTTTGTAACCCTGGTTTTCTTTTTGTGTATAAAACCCAATTGGCAGGTTTTCTTCGTTTAAGCAGTTTTTTCGTTCAATGTATTGTATCCAATTTAGGAGATCGGCATTACATAGCCTTGTTTGTATTCCGATATTGTTGCTATTAAAATATTTATAATGATACATTTCCCTGGAGGAGCATTATTTTATCAGCTAATTTGGAAGCCGAAATTCTCGGAAATCTCGAGCAATGGATAATCGCGCGATAATTAATCATCGATTCATTGAACCGCGGATACTTTTAGTTAAATATATCAGGCTATTGTCATATCGAGGATGTTGAATTTGTGCTAATCGATTAACCTCAAAATGTATTATTGCAATAATCAATGATTGCAATAATTTGAATAAATGTCAATATGTAGTGTCTTCTCATAATTATCTTGTAATATTTTAATAGCGCGTATTTCGAAGAATAAGATTTTAAATTAAAATATTCTGAAAATTAAATTGGATTTAAAAATCTTCATCGAAATTATCATAATTATTTGTTTATAAATCCATGTTTAATTAATAATATAAAGTTAATACGTTTATGCTCGTAATTACTTTATATTTTGTAATTTGTTATTGATTTTGACAATTCAGTTGATACCAATTTTTATTGTTCGATTGTTCGAATTATTATTATTAAGTTTCTTACGTGCAAGTATTACGCATATCATAACAATTAGCTGATATAAAAATAATTCATTCATTCAATATACAAAATTATTTTTTTTCATTGCATAAGCAAGGATCTCCTGAAAAGGACTGTCTGTAGATATGTACATACCTATCCGTATTGAAAGTGTAGTAGTAGTGGTAGTTGATTAGGCAATTTGTGTTGTTCTCCACAGCCCAAGAAGTCCGAGAAGGCAGAGTGGCAGACCAAGAAGTAGATTTAAAATAAGAAAAGAAAACAGTTTGAGTGCGAAATCTCAATAAAATACAAACATTACTATTACGACGCAACATCAAAAAAAAAAATCGAAAAAAACATGAAATGAGAAAGCCAAGAAACTTCTATACACAAGCGTACACACACATTTGAAGGAACACATGACACGATAACATTTATATGTATAATCGATTTAGTAACCGCACGCGCGAAAATGTATCGTGAAAAAACGTATGGGAAAAAAGAAGAAAATGAAAAAGAAAATAAATGCGTAAACGCGTCGAACATTTTTAATACTGTTTCCATCGACGTCTCGCGTGTTCGCCAGCGCGTTTTCGCCGTCGCGTTCATTCGAATTGTTGTCAAACTAGTTCGTTAGTACTGTGTGTGCGGAAAACAAATTAACAAGTGAGAATTGAAAATTGTACGAACAACCCTAGGAATTAGCCGACATTTGATTACATCCCTCTTTTGCGCGAAATAGACGATCAAAACGAGCGAGACATAGGGAGAAGCTGATTCTGCGTAAATATTCACGTACAACTGTTATACAATATAAAAGCGATACGTTGTGGCAATAAATCGATCGAAGAAAACGCACGTGAATAAGTTAGATGTTCCCTCGTGCCTGTGATACTCTCTCATATCCCTTATCAGCAGATTTCTCCTTCGTTCTCTTTTTTGTTTTCTTTCTTTCTTTTTTTTTTTTTTACAATTTATTCCTCTCATCTCTAGGATTTTTCACTGCGACAGATAGCTCTTGATTTTCATTTCCTTTTCCTTTTGCCTTGGTGTCTATCGGATGCGAAATTCGATAACTCGAATTGATTTCAATTCCCGATTGTTTCCGTTACACGGAATAAAAACGTGACGTTGTATGAGAATGTTAATGCGTTCGTAGTTCCTTGTATTTTATGCAAAATCAAATACGACTTTCGCTCCGATGTGGTCGTACTTTTTGTGTCGTGATAAGAGAAATTCTTTCAGACAATGTTACGCGTGAGCGGGTATTTCAAATATTCGATAAGGTGAAATGTCGGCTGTTATCGAGAATCGTACCGTTTTTCTTCCTCTCGTTTAAAACTTTACTAATTCGCTTTTCTCTCAGCCTTATCATTTTAATTTCCTTTCTCTTGTTTCTTTTTCTCCAACACATCACGGCATTAGAGTAGTGTCCAATTTGTATCAATATCTGCATTTTTTTATTTTTTCGCGCTCCATTCATGTAATTTCGTAAAAATCTTTGCGATAACGTAACCCAGCGCGAAGTAAATAAAAATATAACATTACGAGGGACGCAAAAAGGTGAGATTGGCTTGCCAACTATATTTGAAGCTGACAGTTCCATTTTTATTTCATACATAATGGTGCTTTACTCACACACATGCCTGCTCACTCGCGTTTTTCTACTTTTCACTATCTAATTATATTGTTGCCTTTCATTTTTTTTCGCACAGTCGCCTCGTTTATCTTCTTTTTACACGTGTTAATTGCCGCACACTTTCTCACACGCAAAATCGTCCGTTCCGCCGGATTGCTACCGAATGCAAAATGTTAAAAAGAGTGATCAATAGAAAGAAGAATATATAATAAGCTCGTCTGAAAAGAAAAAAAAAACAGAAACAGAAACACGCACTCTTGAAACTAAAGTCATTTGATCACACAATTGAAGCCCTTTTGTAGCTTGCCTTCACTATTATTCGGCAACTATGCTTTCAGGTTATATAGAATTTGTTGCTCTGTCTTTTTGTCTTTTTTATTTATGCACAATCGTGTACGCATCTTGACGTTTTATGTAAAAATCTTTTTTTTTTTTTACACTAAAAGAAAAAGAAGTGTTTGTGATGTATGTATACTAAAAAAATATAATTAGCACATAATAACTATAAATATAATTATTATGGAGGACTTCTTATCATTTTTACCATAATATTTTACAAAATTATTTTACAACTATAATCACAAACACCAAACTTTTCTCTCAGTGTCATTTACAATAAATATAATAATTACGAAGACAATATAACAAATTTTCACGATCAACATGCGATCATGATGTCGATCATGATTTACAACGTGAGTCATGAACGACGTGTTACTTGTTAAGTAATATTTAAATGTACGCTTAATCAGTGTCCATGTCTTATCTGTTGACTAATTATATTGCTCTTGCATTATGTTCGCAGAATGCGTCAAAAGATAAGGTAAAACTTTAACAACCAACTTGTAGCTCGACATGCTTGTGTAAGAGAGAATGACAATGTGTGTGATAGATGAGAATGTACTAGATAGAAGAACGAATAGCTCGAGCGTGTATGTGTGGAAGAATGAAAAGATAGGATAGAGGAGAAGCTTCCTTCGTTTTTAACGTTCGTGGTGATTCAAGTCTTCAGTGCAATCTTTTCTTCAATATTATGTTTCGTTTGTTCGTGAATTTCCTTACAATGTTTAGACGCATAGCTCCCAACATTCTTGACAACGTTGGAAGCCGTTGTCTTAGTTTCTCTATTTCAATCTCCTTTTATTTTATTTTATTTTTTTTTTTTGTTAAAGTCTCGTAATTCTCCTGCTGCTGTATTTTTTTTTCTTATTTCTACTAACAATCTGCACGGCTTCGTAGATGTTCCGTGACTGAGCGTAGTTGCCAGGCGATGTTCCCGGAAACGTCGAGAGAATTTTTTGGTAGTATGAGAGAATTGGCGATCCAGAAAGCTGGCGCAGAAATTCGCAATTGAACGGTATATGGCGACGCGATCCACGTCTACGACCACGAGCAATTTTTGTCTAGATCTCGTTCTCTAGATTTTTGGCATTCCGAATTGAATAGCCTCTTTCAGAAGTTTTTGACCCCGTTGGTATTATCCCCCAGCTTTGCGAACGTTCACCCCGACACTGCTAACTAGTGTGCTAGTCTAATTTTCAACATTACGAGATTTCCATTTGTATTTGATGCAATGTTTTCTCGATTTTGCAGAAGAAACCTGACTGGTCGAAGAAGGGCGATGAAAAGAAGGTAAAGGAGGAAGAAGCCGCGCCACCAGTATCGGTAGAAGAATGAATGAAAATCTCATTCTCGTCGTTCCCGAGAAACGTCAGGATTCACCTGTCCGCATTCGTCAATAACCGCTCTATGCAGAAACTCCAAAGAACCTCCACTACATTTCTTAACGATCGATTTATTAATTTAATAATTACATGTCATGAGTTGCACGCAAAAATCTTGCCCATTCGTCTGTCCGTTACGACTGCTCGTATGTTCATCCCAGATTGTATCGAAATTTTTTAACATTCGATATCCGATCTGTAGTTTTACTCTACACTCTACTCGTACCTGTCCTATCTTTTTTTATGGCTGTAATGTATTTTTTTAATGGACCTTGTAAATCATCATAGAACACTATTAGAATGGCGTGCAGAATTCATGAAAAAAATATAATAAAATTTGTTTTTCTGCAAATCAAATGCGAGAGAAGAAATGTTATTGTAGAGAATAATGGGGGGAAAATGTTATTTTACTTAAGGTTTACTGTAAAACAAAATATTTAACGGTACTCGAAATCTCTATGTGTGATCATTTTCCTATGTTGTTTCATATTCCTTCCACATTCTGTGAGAGTTTTTGTTTTGTTTAACCTTTGAAATATATAATAAGATAAAATAACCGACATTTTATGTACGTTTCATATTTTATGTTAATTATTTTATTCACTTCTCGTCAAGTAGTTAGTGTAAAAAGAGACTAATTAACATTCTTAATAATACAAAATACATACATAATAGCATTTTTTTCGAAATTAATTATTGAAAAAAAACATTTTTATTAACATCTTTATCAAATATATTCTTATTTATATTATATATTTTATGACGATCAAAAATTAAATACTTTTGATTCAAATTGAAAATGTTAAACAGTTTGGTGAAAGATATATAGCTCTTGGCATTTTTCTTATTATTTTGATTCCTAGTAATTTTTCGTGAAAACATAGTTGATATAGCGTATACTGTAAAAGATTTGTATTTCTATGCATCATAGCATTAAATAACAAGAATAATGCCAAAAGTTTTTTTTAATTTGCAGATGAGCCAATATTCAGAGATGTGGTAGGTATGTCACTAACTGGATTTCGCTTTGTAACTATTCGCTATTGAGTGATGCTTTCAACACAGCTTCATCACGTTCGCTATGATACATAAACTCTTATATGTGCTTTGACAATTTCGATTTGCTTTATTGATTTATAAATCTGTTCATTTCTCCCTTCCCCCCCCCCCCCCCCCCCCATTTGCGAGAAATTTTTGCACCGACTAGTATTTTCCAAAATATAACGCACGTCAACAAATTTTGATCAACAATTTATTTTATTACTATCATTGATGTGCTTGTAATTAAATATGATTTGTTTAATTAATTTACAAAAAAATTTCAATCTCGTTTGCTTTTTCATATTTGCCTTTTTACATTTATCAATAAAAAATATTTGAAATCTCTCACATGATAAATCTCTGCTCATTCGTACAGATTTTGAAAATTACGTATTATGTTTTATATTTAACTTGAGGTTATAGTTATATATATATATCTCTTTTATTTGCATTTATTATTATCGCGCTAATTTGTGTCCTGATAATGGACATTAATATATCCAATTAAATGGCACTTCCAACAAAGCCTCATTACATCAATTTTGGGCAAATATTGAGTGTCCTTTTTCATTCAATCGTACGCTACATGCATCGATTTTCACAATCACGTAATTTATTTTCGGAATCCATCGATCGTTTCCGACATACTGGCGTAACCTCCTCTGCCATCATTTCGTTCAACGCGGGTTTCACGCAATCGATCGTATTTATAATCATATCGGGTGTCGTGCACATTGTTTAATTATCTTGACAATATTCGCCGATCACAATGGCCGCGATGATTTATGGCACAAAACGCCGTCAACGAAGCTACGGTCCGGAAAGCGCGCGGTGCGTCGTAAGCTCGTGGCCGAATGTTGCATAAAGCATTATTATCGAGAGCGGGACAAATGACATATCTATAAACGATGGTTTAATGCGAATTCATTTGCAAAATGTGCGCGTTGACCGTTAATCACGCAATTTAATACGTGTCGGTGATGGCTTGCTCTGCAACCAATTCTCTGTTGTTCATGGGAACTTTTTATGTCGATCTCCGTGACGAGATCAATCCGATTATCAATTTTCATTTTCAATCTTAACCCGGGAATTATTTGATTTCTTTTTATGTAAACGTCAACCTGGTGTGTTTTATATCCCAGATATATCCCAGATTTAAAATCATTATTATTATACATATATATAAAACACATATACGTAGTATATATTATTGATTGTTTTCCAATTTATTCGTATTTGGAAATATTATGGATATGGATTAATCACAATTTTTTGAAAGGACAAACCAAACAAATTCAATAAGCATGTCAAATAGCTTATTATGGTAGTTATAAAAAATAAAAATTTAATTAATATAACGTTTTTTTAATGGAGGGTTTTCAATGGAATTGCATAATTAGAGCTTTGTAAAGAATAGTTATTAAAAAAGAAAAAAAATGTTAAACAATATCCATATAAAACAATATTTTATAATAACATTTCATACTTTTTCACTGAAAATATTCCAGATGATTATTCTCGATATTTAAAATACTCTTTTATTTTTATGTGATTATCTTCAGCTTGGAAAGAAATCGCGCACATTTGAAAAGAAATGCTATTATATGATCGAACTTTCAAGTTTTCTGGTAATTTTAGAATAATATGTATTAATTTGTTGATATATATATATATAT